TGAGGCGTTCATCTCTGCCAGCGGCCGAGCTATCCAGGTGAGTACTCCTAACAGCCTCGGGTTTTAGAACCTGTGAACTCTGCTTTAAACACAAACAAAATGACACATAGAAACTGAATAAAACTGTCATGGTAAGGTACAAATGAAGCTGTGCTGAAAATGACACTTTTTAACATCTGTTCTGACAGTAACCATGTCAACGAGAGAGTTGTTCACTTGCAGGATCAGCTGACTCAGCTTTAAGAAGCTGTCTACAAGTGCAGGTGCTAAGGGCTCGACAAACAACCAGCCAGGGTGAAACCCGACACACGGATAGCGATTGCAATGTTGTGAATCGTGCTCTCAGGTCACTTCTCCTCAAAAAGATTGATTGGTTCTTCTACTGCCTTTTGTAAAGGTTATTGGTGGTTCACACAAAAAGCGGGGTGTGCATTATGGACGTGTAAACTAAACAAATCTTGCAATGCTAATGATATTGAAAAACAAACGCACGCCAAAATACAATTTTATGAGGAAAAACTTACCAGATAACTTCACCCTGGCACCAACAAATTCCCATAAACAGGGTTCCTGCAGATCCCTAAAAAGTCTTAAAAGGCCTTGAATTCATCAATCCAAAAATAAGGCCTTAATTAGCCTTAAAATTTCTTAAATTAATCTTTCAGAAATCTTAAAAATGTTGACACATTGTAAGTAGGATGATTGTAATTAATCTCAAACATTAAAATAATTGGTAACATTTATTTTTTTAAACATTCACATGCGTCTGCATGTGAATGTTTCCTCTTTGACATCACTTCCTGTTACTTCACGTGCAAATATCTCAACAACCGTTCATCTGAGCAATGTGACATTTGTTCTGTAATATGTTAATAATTTTGTCTTCCCAAAAATGCATTCACTTTTCTTATAAAAATTGATGTCACAGGCACTTCAAGRTTTTATGTACAGCAAATTGGGGTTAAGACCCCACTGTGGGTCCCAAAACTCCAAATGTTGGATTGTTAGAAGATTTCCAGAAATTAAATTAAGCTTAAAACTGACTGCTAAGAATGTTTCTGCTATAGTTTGATATGGATAAAACAGTTGGTCTATTAGCAGTATTTGAATACTTCAACCAAAAATACTTTGATTCATGAGTTTCTGCCACAGTTTTTATTTTTTGTCATTTGTGTTTATTGTGAAATGGGTCTTAAATTTAATTTCACTTGGCATTAAAAAGTCTTAAAAAGTGTTAAATTTAACTTGGCTGAAACTGCAGGAACCCTGATAAAGCTGCCTGTTTTAGTAATCACTTGGTGAAAGTGTTAGCTAACTGCAGTGTTTAGCATACTCTCCTCATTGGTCAGTCAGTGAAACCCTCGCTGATTGGTTGTACGCTAAGCGACAGCAACAAAAGTTGAACATTTTTTGAAATTTCACATGCACGATTTTTGCCGGTCGCTTAGCTGGAGGAGGGTAAGCGATTGTCGCCTCACCGCACAGGCTCCTTAGGAAATAAATGGAGAGCGAGCGATGTCGCCTCCCGTGCGTCGAGCCCTTTAGGCAGGAGGAAATTAGAGCATACAAAGGTAGAAGGTTAAATCATTCCTTTCCTCAGATGTCACAGGGAATATGTGATCTTAGACAGTGATGAGAACGCAGCTTCAAGCAGGAGTTTCAAAAATCAGTTGTCTGACAGATGCCAAGCTGCATGAACTTATTCATTTAAAATCTCTATTTACTCTTGTTTATTCCTCATACTTTGCTTATTTACCAACAGTATATTCTGCATTAGTGTCACATCCTTTTGTGTGTTAAAAAGCTTTGATTAATTTGTCTCTGCCTTCTCAGGGTGCCACATCCCACCATCTGGGTCAGAACTTCTCCAGGATGTTTGAAATTGTGTTCGAGGATCCCAAGAAGCCTGGTGAGAAGCAGCTGGCCTTCCAGAACTCCTGGGGCATCACAACCAGGACCATCGGTGTCCTCACCATGGTCCACGGAGACAACATGGGACTCGTACTCCCACCCAGAGTGGCCTGCCTGCAGGTAGTCCATCAGAATCTGAGCACATCACAAGTGGCTGAGAAATATATACGTTTAGATCTGACCCAGTGATGCATGCATGAGTCTTAATCCTTTTTAAACACCTTATTATACTGTCTTTCCTCAGGTTGTCATCATCCCATGTGGAATCACTGCTTCCCTATCAGAGCAGGACAAGGAGGTTCTGTTGGCCCAGTGCTCCAAGTACCAGAGCAGGCTGCTGGATGCTGGCATCAGGGTGAAGACTGACCTCCGAGACAACTATTCCCCAGGGTGGAAGTTCAACCACTGGGAGCTTAAGGTCTTTTATGTTTTTAACTGTGCAATTTGTGCTTTTATGTGAAATAAAGAATTACCTGAAAGGAAGGGGGAGAGGGTTACGTTTCATCATTAGCCAGGAATAAAATCAGAGACTATTAACTTAATGTGTCCTGTTTCCCACATACAGGGAGTCCCGATTCGTCTGGAAGTGGGACCCAAAGATCTGCAGCAGAAGCAGTGTGTCGCAGTGAGGAGAGACTCGGGAGCAAAGGTGACGATCCCAGAGGCTGAGGTGGAGAAGAAGCTGGTCGTCATGTTGGAGGACATCCAGAACAGCTTGTTCAAGAAGTAAGGCTGCACTTACACAGAACACTGAACCTTCAACAGGAGGGAAATTAGACATTCAGCACAAGATTTTAAATGAGTGTCAGATTTTAAGGTGAAAGGTCCAAATGGTTTTGAAATTGCTTTCACAAGCTGTCAGAGAGGCATGAAGAAATGAGGCCTACCAGCAGGGAGCAAAGTGACATTAAAAATAAAAACTTCTAGCAAAAGAATACATAACAACCCAATGAGATATATAT